ATTTCATTATCATTTTGAATGTAGGCATGATAGGAATATTTGTTTAACTAAATTTTAATCATAAATAATTATGTACCTGTAAGTAAATATGATGTATAAACAATAATAGTGCAATTAAAGAAATTACAGTTTTGTTTCCGTATTTACAATAAAGGTCCATTATTTACAACACAGCAATTGAGTAAACACTATGTTACATCAACCTAAAATTCTTCTGGTAAATTTACTCTTTTTTCACCTACAGAATTCCCAGCTAAAAGTAAAAACATAATAGTATTTTAGTAAATAAGAAAACAAATTCAGACAACTATACTTCAATACTAATACAACAAAAATTAATAAGAGTAAATGTTTTTTCTGTAAAAAAAAAATTTAAGTTAATTCTTTAAAGTTATTTATATTTACACAAAACGTTTTACATTTCAAATAACAAACATCGTGGTGACCGTTACACTGACTGATATATGTTAGCCGATACCCTGGAGAGCATGGTCAGTGGTCAGTGTCCTCTCATCAGTGTCCGAGAATGCAAATGGCTCTTTGTCAGATGTGTCAACGGTGTGGCGTCTGGAAATAATCATAATCTTAGATTTAGTTATTCACTGCTCAGTCCGCTCACGCCAACTTTAAACTAAATTATAATATGTCAATAAATCAATCCTGGAGGCAAATTATGTACAAATTATAATGGCAAAAAAATAGTATTGCTCCTCAGAACAACTTAAGATATTTTACATGCAATAAATTATCAAGAAAAATTGTGAAGATTTTAACTGACCTCCTTTCTGAATTCACATCAAATTGCGCGTTCACATCACCTTCAATGATGAACTTTATGTTTATTCCATTTAAAAACTAAAAGTAAGATTGTTTCAAGAAATATCCACTCATTACTGTCAGGAGTGTGATAAATTATTTTTGGCACATACTTCAATGGTTTTTTTTTTCAATGCAAAATTCTGAATTGTCCAAAGTTCTACAATTCAAATTGGCATGAGCAAAAATTAGAGTTCCACCTCTGGCACTGGTAGACCTTGAACAATTTGTTACAAGGGAGTAGCCGTTCAAGGTTAAAAAGTCTTTACCTGATGTTGGAACCCAGTGTTCCGAGAGGCACACCAAGTCACACTACTGGAATAATGTGAATTCCTCCAACAAAGGTTGCTTATCACCAAATCCCTTTATGATAAAAAAGAGATAAAGCACACAGAAAGTTGTAATAGGGTTAGGTCTAGGCTTACTTACGTATATTGGTGTACAGTCCATATTAACCTGTCTATTTTTTAGTCACTGGATCCAATAAAAAACATTGGATTCAACATTACGGACACCATCCCCGTTTTGACGAGGACGAGAAGGGAAGTATTTGCCAATGAGAATACCCACAGGCCACAGTTCGGCTTTCATAACCTCACTTTCTTGTTCAAAATTGTGCTTTCTTGTATGGAATGAATTGTTTTGTTCTCATGATGTAAACCTGGCATTTGATTTATTTCCAGACAAGGTCGTCTTTTTGTATAATTTGTGTTGTCCCAGAATAACCAAAAAAATGTGTACCAGAAGCTAAAAGTTTTTCAAATCCGTGGTTTAATAGCAGTCTGAATGAACAGAGAAACACTTTAATTTTACTGAATGACTTGCTAAAAATAAGTATAGTAACGATAAGTTGAAAGGATTGTATCCTAAATTTAGGAAAAAATACAGGTCAGCTATCACTGAGGTAAAAATTGAATAAAACGACAGTGTTGTCACTAATGCGCCAAATAAATGTGCTGCTACTTGGCGTCTCATAAAATTGGATGGTACTGACAACTCACTGAAAGTCGAGTCCCTAATTTTAGCACAAGATGAGCACTTCATTAATGTTGGTAGAATGGTGGCAAAAATATTGACTCCTCCAATTGCAATCGTGACTTTGTCACTTTCTTCAAACAGCAACCAATAGATATCCGAGCATTGCTTTCAATTGTTATTGTTAAATAATTAAAAACCTTCAATCTGAAGATATTTTTGGTCTTTCAAATAATGTTGTTAAGAAAATAATCCCTTTCATTGCATGGCCCCCACATTTAATTGTGGGCCCTGTTACCAGGATCTGGCTCGGGCCCTACCAACCGGGGGGTGTGGGGGGTATGGAATACCCCCCAACTTAGAGGGGGTCCGGGCCCCGCAAAAATTTTGAAAATGTCATTTATTTTAGTGAGTTTTTAAGGCAATCTAGGTATTAAATTTGTGAGTATGGTAAATGGCACTTTTGCAGCCTTTTTTAAGGAAGAAAAGAGTTCTTCAATGAGTTTTATAAGCCTTACAGGAATTCAACAATTAAAACTATTATATCAATACACAAAAGCTCCATGCCTAATAATATTTTGTCTTTTTTATTTCCCTGTAAAAGCGTTTGGCTACCTTAACTGCTATAATTGTAGCTACTTTGTAATATGGAGTACCGGTACCTAGGAAAAAAACTTTCGTAAATCGAGTTTAACAGCTTACACCAATGATATCATATTTTATTCAGTGTCAATTTTCATCAAGAAACAATACTACATTTTTTGGAAGTGGATTCCTGAGCTGCCTATCTTGCGCGATTAGTCACGGAGAAAAACAAATGTGCACGAGTAACGCTGAGAATGACTGGTGCTGTCGATGCCGATGCTATCCAATCCATGCTGTAGTACAGTATTATACTGAGCGAATTGAGAAGAAAACTTAGGTCAAAATTATTACAATCTTTCATATTTTTTAAACTTCAAAAGTAAAGAATTTTTAAGTTTGTGTCAAATAACCTAGATAGCTGGCTGTTCTGCTGTTGTATAGTACATTACATACGCACCTACACACCTATAGTATTTAAATATAAACTATAGCCTAGAATCTAGAATTAATACATTTTAAATTATTTAACTTTATTTTTTTTTATATATATACTATTTTTTATCTTCTATTTATAATCTGCTGTAATCTTCGATGGAAAAAAAAAAAAAAAAAAAAAAAAAAAAAAACTTGACCAGCTCTGTGACCAGAGTTGCGCCAGCCCCACCCTTGTGGGGGCCATGCATTTTAGAACCACTAGTCCATCTCATAAGCTTGTCAATTTCTTCATGTATATTCCCACATAGCCTAAAATTTTCCAAAACACCCAATTCATAAAAAGGGAGATAGAACTGTTATTGATCATTTTAGATCAATTTCTATGGTTCCAATTTTTAAGATAATTAAAACGCATAAATTAAATTTCAGCTATACAAAACCATCTCGAAAAGAACGAAATTCTAAGTTCAGCTCGATCTGGTTTCAGACCTGGTTTGTCAACAATAAAGGCAGTTGACAAATTGATTTCAGATGTCTTGAAGTCTTTCGAAGACAACAATTATATTAACGGAGCCTTAATCGACCTTAGTAGAGCTTTTGATAGTACCTACATCACACCAAATTATTTTGGAAATATTGAAATATTATGGGATCTAGAAAAATGAGCTACATTTCTTCAAATCATGTGGCAGATTCTAACAAGTGGTTGTTGGGCAGGATTCATCAGAGTTTTTTTAAACTCTATCAGGAGTCCCTCAAGTCAGTGTTAAGGCCTATTCTGTTTTTATTAATGATTAATGACCTAGTAACTTATGTCACCAATCACTCTTATATGCCGATGATACCACTTTCTTTTCCTCAAATAGTAGTTTTACTGAGTCTGAAGTAACAGTGAACAATGCAATCATAATCTAAATTATCATAATCTCTAATTGGTTCAATGCAAACTAGTTTGCTTTAAATCGTCAGAAAACTGAGCGGATTTGCTTAACGCTAAAACACTTAGAGGGTTCAAATATCCCGTCATCAGTGAAACTTTATCGGTTTTGATTATCAAAATCAACTAATAGCCACAAATTCCTCCAAATAAATCTCTTTAATAAGCTACCTGTATTGTTTCAAGAGCTTAGATTTAATAAATTTAAAAATAAATTGTCTGATTTGCTTCTTTACAGAAGCTTTTATTCAGTGGAGATTTTTTAGTACACCAAATATCTAATATATAGTTTGTTTATACCTGCTGTAACTTATTTTCTATCAATACAATATAACTAATCTATAGAAAAATAATATTTGTTCTGACGTTGTCTATTGTACTTTTGTATTTAATGACAATAAAGATATTCTTATTCCGGTAAAGATGTTCTCCAGGGTATTGGCTAACAGCCTAACATGCATCAGTCAGTGTACCGGTCCTGTTAGTAATTTGTTTAGGACGGCCAAAAGTATTAAATGATAAATGTTTCATGTAAATAAAACTGTATTGTGTGACAGTGTGTGTATGAACTACATGTGGAATGTAATTAATAACCAATGCTTATAACAATAATTAAGAAGACTGAAGGTTTGAGAATGGGACAGCCACGAAACTATAGTCATCATGAAAAGAAGGCTAGAATTGAAGACGTAAAAAGGTGGTATTTGACCTATTCTACTCTTTATCAATCCAAGAGGCAAAACATGGATTTAAAAAATGAAAAGTGACTCTAAGGTTCTTATAACATCAACTTACTTCAGCAAGATAGTCTCAGTTTGTATTTCCAGAAGTTTCCAAGGATTCATAAATACTTTACATGTTCACTTAGCTTCTTTACCACAGGCTGGTGTATTATTTCGTTTACTCCATCAGCAAAGAAAAAATCCAAGTGGTTGTAGTCTTTTGCTTCCTCTTCCAAAAATAGGTAAGCTTTCCCATTAACATCCAGTCTTTCTTTCAGAATTTTAGTGTCTTTCGTAACAGAATAGTCGTCTTTTCCCCCTTGTATAAGGTAAACAGGAACAGTCACTCTGGTTAGGTCATACTTAGGAGGCGTTGTTATTCCACTGTAGTAAGACATGTTCAATCTGTCTCCGTAATCGTACATCATAAACTCGTTTGCACTTCCGACTTGAAGCAGATGAAACAAAGATTGAATCGAAGTTCCTGCTTAATGAGTTTTATTTGGCCTGTTATTTTACAGGGAAATTTATTATTGTTGGAGATTATTTACAGCAGACATGAAATCCAGTGTACTTAACATGTCCTTGTAACTTAAAAGATCTTGTTCCATGCCGGTTAACAAACAAACCAACTTAACAATCCCCCTACATAACCAACCTTTCTTTGTTTCCGGACCACTACACGGGGATCGAGCTATGAACGCAAATCTTCTGTAATCCGGTCGAAACTCATAAAAATTCAACATGTTGAGGGACCTTAGAATGGAATTCACTGCTCCATTTTGGAATTTACTTATGACAACACTGAGTGAGTTAGGTATAGCGATTGGAGCCATTGCTATCATACGATCTATCTTGGTCATGTAATCCGGCCAATAGTGGGCGAACGTCCAGAACATTGTGGTTCCCATGGAAAACCCTATGTAAGAAAGAGTCTTCTTATTAGTTTTCTTAAGAATATAGTCAACAGCTGCGGGTAAGTCAAATTTTCCCATCTCGTCAAAGCTGAACTGCCAATACTTTGAATTCAACGTCGGGTTGAGGTTCAGGTGAGCCTTTGAGTAAGGATTGCCTCTGTGGTTTGCCACCCATACATCGAACCCAGCGTCTGCCAACCTGTACGCCAGTCCTTGTGGTATTGCCAGGTAGAACGCTGAGGATTGTAGGATACCGTGTACAAGGAGAACAGGATGTCTGTGAGCTTCTTCCTTCCTTTTACCTTCCACCTCGGGAGATGATGCTGCCACTCGATGGTAAGTAAGAACATATCCGTCTCGTGTAGTGATGGTGTGATCTTCAAAAGGGTACCTTAAATTTGTTACAAACGTCTTCAAAGGAGCTTTTTCCATTTGTATTTTGTCAATAGAGAATTTGTAGCCGAGGCCAGTATATGTTCCCGGAGAGCATGCTGGAAATAAAGTCACTAAAATTATAGTAAAAGCTAAAATCAAAGAAGTCATCACACCAAAGAAACAACTCAATAATGCTTGCCACAGCCACTCATGTCTGTTGGGTAACTAGTTGTGATCATGGTTGGAGCTATTAAATGATTACACAATGGCATAACTGTGTTCACCACACATGGTACATTTTCCTTAAAAAGTCAGTTTGGCTGTATGTAACTAAAAACATTTGTATTCTTATTGTTTTATTGAGATTATAAAATCCATAATCAGGCTATGTATATTAATTAATTAATTAATTACAATATTAGTTAACTAATTGCGATCATCGTTGGTAATGTAAAAAATTAGACGATGGGTTTTGATTTAACTACATAGTAAATTTGCTTTTTAAAAGTCAGTTTGAACGTCTACAATTCAAATAGTATATTTCTTCACTAGTGTAAATCTTTTCGACCCGAGCTCAAGTCTTACGGAATATGAGCGATGGTTGAAAAGAGACTTTTTGCTCGTGTGATGAACAATATTTATCGTCATATTGCACCATATTTTGAGAACTATGTGACAAAACTAAAATAGTCTTAAATCCAGTTGTCTCCGGGAGTAGACTGAGGACAACTCGCCTCCAACAATCCCACAATCATGTGATGACAATTGGCGAAGACAACTGTCTCACCAACTGACAACCCAGATCTATACAAACCAGCTGTGCACGTCCAGTCGGGTATGATTTGAACAGTTAAAATACCCCCGCCGCAGCAAACCTGCCGTCTAAGCGAATTTCCATTTGGCCGAATTGATTTTCAATTGATCTATTTAAATAACATTAGGTTTAACGAGTACCTAGGTTTGATGCTACAAGGAAACTAATAAAGTAGTGTGTTTTTAGTAAAATATTGATAGCTTACTATAAAATAAATAAATTTGCCAAGTTTGATCAAAATATATCCATAAACAAGCAAACTACAACATTTTACAATATTCTCCATAAGAATAACATGGGAATTTTAAATTTACCATTTTTTTAATTTTCTCCGTAACCAATAACTGTACAAAAACACTTTGATATACTGAATTGTTTGTTTTTTTAAGCTCTTTAAGAAGGTTTAGAGAAAAATTGGGAAATTTTGTGTTTTGAGGGTAAAAAGTGAGAAAAACCAATTTTTACCCCATAAAACCCCCCATAAAACCCTGTTCCCATGGACCGATCATGCTGGATCGCGAACTCATTCAAGTTTATCCCGCCTTACACCTTCAAACCAAATTTCATCAAATTCTGATAAAAATTACTCAAGTTATCGTGTTCACGGACACATATATATATATATATATAAATCTATATATATATATATATATATATATATATATATATATATACATATATAAAAATTTGAACGAATGGTGTTTTTGGCCTCTAGGGACATTAAAATGAAAAAGTAAATCGGTCCCGGGCCTAAGTCTTACCATGAGACCTACGGTAATAGCTACTTCCCTATAGGGAAATTCGCTAATAAAAAAGCTGCCCCTTTACACCATAGAAATTTAACTTTTCCAGGAGAGTGTCTAGATCAACTCCAGTTGTAGCCAACTTAAAGAAACTTCTTGGTAATTACTTCCGGTAGCCAATAACAAACAACAACAACAATAACAAGGGAAGAAACTTATTGGCAGTTACTTCACCTTATTACACGTGTTATTAGACGTATATCCTTTTATCAGGTAATTGAATAACATGTACGATGCTGATCAAGAAGTTATTCAACTTTTTTCCTTATAGAAAGTTGCTATGAATACCTTACCATAGGCCTACCACTTTTCAATGAACAATAAAAAGTTTCACAACATCGATTTCATGACACCGACATTTGTTTGAAATCCAAAACATTTGACACCATACACGCTTATTGTATAAACACAGTAAGAAGGTAAAACAGTGAAAACTATCGGGTTGGTGTTGTTAGAGTAAATTTCTCAGATATCTTTTGTGAGGCTATACTGATACTCTTGAAATTTTCCACATGTTTGAAGTGGTTTTGTCGATGACAATATGTGACACATAACAATATGTGAAACTTAACAATAGACATCAAACACAGATCCTTGTTACCAATATCACTTGCATTTCCAATGTCATGTGGGATTGATTACCATCAGTAATAAATTGTGAACAAATAATCGTAGTTCGTGGCTTTTAAATACAGTAATATAGGTTATTTTGTCATAAAATTCTTTGACAACATATTTTGGTTCGAATGTTTAAATTGGACACACATTTCATTTAGGAGAACTTCTAAAAATTACCAAGCTCAAAAATGTTACCAATAAAATCAATTATTTCATCATTATTTTTTAATGTAAGCATGTTAAAAAGAATATATGTTTCAATTTAAAGAAATTTTAATAACAAATGATTATGGAATCAAAGATGATGTTGTGGCGTAATTTCGGGGTAGGAGACAAAATGAAATATAATATCGTAGTATGCGTGTCCCTGTTTGGCTTGCCATAAAATGTAGCGTAAAATTCCGTTTGGGGATACAACAAATGATAATAACGTCGTTTTCGTGAATACGAGATAGTATGTCTCACCCAAAATTAGTCACACCTTAACATTTGTCCAGATAGCCTAGCCTACAATGAGATAATCCAGGATTCTAACGTGTTCGTAAATTAATCATCGTTTCGAGTTTATTGGCTCAGACTCAGATTATAATTACAAGAATGCTAGTAACTAACTATATTAGCTTACCTAAGTGGTCATCATAGCCACTTGAAATATACGTTGAGATCAATTATCAATTATCAATTATTTAAGATGGGGACGCCACTATGTGCGTATTTTAACCCAAATATGAGTGAAGGATGAGTGTAGGATGAGTGGCGCGATCTTGTAGTCTTGTTAGTGACTAAGGCCGACATGTTCCTTAGACACAGCTGTTAATTAATAGCCCATACAGCTAATGGCAACTAAGGGACCTACAGTTTATAGTGGAATCCGAACCACATTTTTCCTTGTAATTTACGAATTGGTCTAATTATCAGGATAGTACTGCGGATAGTCGTAGTACTCACTAGTGCGGACGTTAATCCTAATTAAGAACTAATATTACAGCAAAATGAGAATTTAACGGAATGATTTTACGAGGTTTAAAGACGAGGTTATAAAACGTGAATCGTTTGTTGTACTTGGTTAACACCAAAGAATAATGGGTCCTAATAGTTGGTCAATACTTAAATACTTTTCAATTAAATGGCGACCATACAAAGTAGGTATTTTAAGCCAAGTATGAATGCCTTCTCTATTTTCACCCGAAGCTGTAAATTAAACATGTGATTTTTTCCATTTATTTTGATTTTCTTTTTATATTTTGTTGTTATTTCAAACACCAGCATGGCAACTCATAGGGCCCATGTTAATTTTTTTCAAATTCATTTTGTGTGCTTATTTTGAGTCTATTTTAATTTATAAAGGGATTCTTCACATCTACAGGAGAATATCTTTCTTACAATTTGCCTAGAATTTCCCTGCGATGCACACGAGCTGAGAAAAAAGGTTTTAAAGAAACATGCTTGCTTATTAATTTACATTTTTTTTTTTTTTCAAGAAAGACCTGTTATTCACACTGCAGCAATGTCTACAATATTATATAGACCTAAATTTCTTCGGGTAAAATAACTCATTTTTTCACTGACAGAATTTCCAGCCAAAAGAACTGTAATTGCATAGTGATAATTCACTAAATGTGAAAGCAATTTAGAAAAATGTCCTTCAAAGCCAATACGGTTGACAAAAAAATAAATAGGAGTTTTTTTTTATAACAAAAAAGGTAAATAAACTGAGAGCTCAATATAAATGCTAATCCGCCACTCCGCAGCTGCCCTGAGATGGTACATTTGTTGACAAACATTCAGAAACTGATTCAACTGAAGCCAGCACACTCCATTGCACAGTGGAACAGGAAAAATATATTATTATTTCACATTACTGTTTTTCATTGATTTTTTTTTTTTTTTTTTAGGAATTAATAGTTTGACTAAGTTGAAATAAGGTGTTACCAGTAGCTCTTAAAGTACACTATGTATGCAATTTCAAATTCTATTTGAAGAATTTTCAACAATAATTACACTTTGTTTGTACAATGTAGACAATTTAACCGAAATAAATACACCAATGTTTTTTAACGTCCATATTTATGAAGAAAAAATTGTGTAGACACTTTTAGAAATAAAAATACCTGTAAAACAAATTAACAGAAGGATTTTCTCCAGATACTTTCACACAAATACTGGTTAATGGAAACATCTTTACAATAAAAAATACAAAAAATTACAATAATTGTAAATAAACATTACTTCAACTAGTTTGAACTGGTTGCGATAAGGACTATGATTAAATTTAATTTACTGCTAAGGTATGACTTTTAGGGCAGTATCCCCATACCGTATATATCATGTAGATCATGTGCTCATCCTGATATTCATTCCCCGCTAGTTGACATGCTGTGTGATGATTCAAAGAAACATCAGGTAAAATGTTATATACATTACAACTAAAGCTTTACATTTTTTGTTTAAAATATATAAAATTTGTTTGAGATCGGCATTTTACAATTTAAGTAAAACTCTACACCAACTAAGTCAAGGAATGCTTGGCTCTGGGAAGGAATTAAAGCATTTCCCTCAGGTGAACTTTTAACCTCAGACAGTTGAGTTTAACTTGGATGAATTTCACGACCGCGTAACTTAGAGCGCATCAACTTGTTCAACTTGAAATTCTTTGAGATAAAACATTTAATTCCTTAAATTGTTCTACAGCATTTCCCATTCCTAATGTCTACGATACAGGTTATACTTGTCATGAATGAAACTGGTTTTGATTGCAAATCAGTATGTTATGGGGTCATTTTAACTCTAAACAAAAATGTATAACCCCCTTATGCTGTAAAGATTATGGTTCAAAGGTATTGCAATTCTTGTGGCTTTCCTCATAAAATATCAGTTACTTCTGCTGCTTAAATATCATTGAAAATCAAGCTAACGGGAACAAGTATGTGTCAGTTTGCTGATACT